AGCTGTTTAGACAAATATTCCACAGCTGCAATAATTATAGATGGGAAATTAAATGCCAGGATGGGACCAAATGATTGTACACTATTTAATCAATTTATGATCCACTATGAACTACTAATCTTAGTTGATGGACACCCATTTTAGCATCACTCTTTATATTTATAGATCAGACTGGATGTATGCCAAGAGATTGGGGAATAGCAATTATTCTACCATCTATAAAAAGGGCAATAAAATGATCCATGTAACTACAGGGCCATTAGTCTACTAAAAGTTGTTAGCAAGTTGTATGCTAAGCCCCTAAACCACAAACTTCAAGACTGGATAATCTCAGAGGGCATAATTAAAGACAAACAAGCTGGATTCAGGGAAGGGACCCATATTTTGGTACTTTACCACCTTGTACAAAAATATACATATTTTTAAAAATCCTCTCTTTTTGTGGCCTTCCTTGACTTTAAACTGATATCCAGAAATACCCTCTGGGAAAAACGAAATTATTGATAAACGCCTCCTCTATCTCATATGAAAGCTATATTCCAACTCCACCTTAAAAGAAGTGTGCAACCCACAAGAGTTAGGGTTATCAATAGAATAAGAGACATGGAGTTCCAACTAGAACTTAACAAGATATCTCTCCACAGTAGAAATCAGATTAAATGGGGTTTGTGGGAACCAGGAAAGTATCTGAAAGACCTGACTTTTCCTAAGAAAAGAATAGCATTTTTTTCTATATAGAAGAATGGAAACCACCAATCTTAGATAATAGGCTCCATTATTCAGACTGAAGTGAATTCATTCTCCAAAAGAGCTTCTCTTCCAGAACAAAGAGAAGCAGAAAGGAAACTGCCTAAACAGTAGAGGAACAAATGATCCATTCCTAACTGACAAGATGATTTTAGAAAACTAAGAAAAGGAAGACCAGAAAAATAATGATAATGAATCATCCATGCAGCAAAGTTGATAAACTCTACTTACCAAGGAAAATATTGTATACCTTATATCTACATATATTGTAAATGATCCCAGCAAAATTAAACCTTTGTAAATTGTAAATAAATATTTGTAAATTGCTGGAAGATTTTAATAGTAATTATTAGGAAAAAATGGATAAAATTAAGTATTTGTTGTGAGAAATTGTGATTTATTTAATGCTTCCAAGGGAAAGTAGCTTCTCAATATATGGTAATTATTTTGCTATCTCTAATATGTTACAATAATGGAAGATAGACTATTATTAGTCTGGGTTACATTCTTTTTGAAACTACACAGTATAACTCACAACCTTAAACCTATTTTCTTGCGCATGACTTTCTTTTCTATTTGCTATTTAGGGACTAACTTTAAATCAGTTTTTGCAATAACTTTGCATCTATTACAATCAATTGCATTTATTAATTTGACTCAATTTGTAATACTCAAGAAGTAATGGCAGAAATGTGAAATTTAAGTATAAGGAGGACAGAACACAAAGCCTCACTAACTTCACTGGAACCAAGCATCCCTGATTTGGAGATTGGAATCTAGTCTCATTTGAAAATGAAATTGCAGTTGATTGAATTCATAAAATATACTAAAAATAATATAATTGACTTGGGTTTAGTTTAGTAAACACATCTGAAATAAAGATTCCTGAACCAAATGAAAGCATCAAGGCTAGCAGAACCATCAAAGAACTTCATCCGTCAGAAGATAAATGACTTAAGTTCAAGGAGTGGAATCATAGAGGACTGAAGTACTTGATACATAAAAGGAAATAAATGCTACACCTTGTTTCTGCCTGCCAACCATTTTCCATTTCAAAGACAGAATAAGATTTATTTTGTCAAAGTTTTAGAATTAAGTCTTACTTTTTATAGGTTTGCCATATGTTTAGGTTTCCTTGAAAATATCCTATTTTCTTCCACATCTTTAGCCAGGAAGAAAAATTATTTCCAGTAATTGAGCCTGAACCCTAAATTTTGGGAGCAGTGCTGAAGGTGATGTGTACAGTGTTCAGAAGGAAAAATGAGATGACAAATTCCTACAGTACACTCTAAAAAGTCACTAGAGGTTTATTATATCTTAGAAACTATCAAAGACTATTACATCTGCAGCACATAAATAAACCAAAATCCTCCAAAGCATCTTAAGTAAATCAAAACACCCAGGAATCCAAGAATAACAGAAGTCATCAACAACGTACAGACTAAGGACTGTAACAGCCACTTAGGTAGGCATACAATACATGCAGAAGACTGGCAGAGTGCATCGTCTCATCTAAAGAGAATCCACAAATTAAAAGTCAGATGATACAATGAAAACTCCATCTCAAGACATAGTTTTTTGTATGCAAGCATTCTAGACCAAGTTAAATAAAAAAACATTAGGGAATTCATAGAATCATGGAATCATAGAGCTGAGATTTCTGGAAGCTTGGATTCAGACAAATCAGTAATCAACAGACACATAAAATACAATATATGTAAACATTATTCATAGAATCATAGGGCATCTGCTCAAGGCAGGAGACCTTATATATCCCAGTAAAATGGTTGTCCAGTTTATTCTTGAAAACTTCTGGTGACTGAGCACAGTTCAGGGAGGTAAGCTGTTCCATTTATTGTTTTTTTCTGTCAAAAATATTCTCCTAGATTCCAGGTTGGATCTCTCCTTAACCAGCTTCCACCCATCATTTCTTGTCTTGCTTTGAGATGGAGAATAGGTTGACCCCCTCTTCTCTGTTATTTTTCTTGCAAATGCTCTCAGTAGTCCCAATGCAAGTCCCTTATTTTTTTAAAAAATGGATGTAAATGCAGACATTTATTTTTTTTAAGAGTTATTCAATACTGTATACTTTGGTTTTAAAACTTAGTTTTTGCTCCCTCTTGTGGTTAATATTGAAATGTTTAAAAGTTAATGCTTCTCCCTCTTGTGGTTATTATTGAAACAAACTTTAAATGTAATATATTAAAGGCAAATCAGATCACTTTCAAAATATATTTTGTAATCCACAATTCATCTTCAAGTTAAAGTAATCCATAGAGAAAAGCAAAGACAGGAAAAAGGGCGGAAAAAATCTCAGCTTGCATTTGTTGCAAAAGGGTACATAAAAAAAAGGAATTTCTCAATTGCTCCTAGTAGTTCTAAATCAGGGTCCTGATTTTTAACAGTATTTCTATTGTCTAATTTTGTGTAATATAGTGTAATGTCTCTCTTGGATGACTCCTCTGCTTATTCCTCGGAGGCCACTGGAGAGAGGATGTGTTCATTCCTGGCATATTAGGAACTGGGTTAATTAATTACTCTGAATGGCCAGCTGAAAGAGATCTACAGAAGGCTTCGGCTGGGGACAGCTTGCAGGGGTGACCAGTCAATGAAGAGGAGGAGGTAGATCCGAGAGCACCCAGGGCAGAGAAAAGTTAGGAGCAGCGGAGATCTGCCAGATTACTTGGAGCAGGCCCCACCCATCTTGATCGAGTGCACCAGAAAGCTATTTATCATGGCAGGCAGAAGGAGGTGTTGCTGGGAACATGTTTGGTTTATAGCTGTGTTTCTTGTACTTCCAACTTGACTTTGTGCCTTGGATACTCTGAATTTCTCTTGCCAAGTCAGTTCTTGCAGGTTTATTTCAGTTTGGCTTGGTGGAGTTAAGTTTGTTTAGTGGACTGACTTATTGGAGCAACTTTCCATTGTTTTATGGACTATTGGCCATTGCTTTGTGAATTAACCTTGGCCTGCTTGTGGTTAGATTTATTTGGGACAGTTCTGAGGCTGGGTGAAGGGAATTGCTAGGAACATTAATAAAAAAACCTCTAAAAGCACACTTGTGTGTGTGTGTGTGAGTGAGTGAGTGGGGCAGAACATATAGTCACCTATGGGTCCCTACTTTGTTTTAAAATTTTAAAAATCTTAATTTTAGAAATTTATTTTGATTTTTTTTTAAAAAAATGTTTTTTAAAAAATATGTTTTAGTATGTCTATGGAGATTCTCAGTTAACCAGGTCATGGTTGTCCCAAAGATGCTTTTTCAAGAGGCAACTGGACTGTCTTTGAAGACGTTTTGCTTCTCATTTCCTCCCTTCTGAAAACATCATGCTGAGTCATTGCTTTTGTCTGTCTGTTGTGCAGCACCAATTTTTTCATTGTTCTTTTCTTTCCTTCTCATCATTTGCTTCTTTAATTTTACTTAACTTTGCTTGAACTTTAGTTCTCTTTCACTTCTTTCTCCCACAGCACGCAACTGTTTTTATCTGCTGTGATGTACGGCTGCTGCCCATCACTGCCATCTACAATAATTACACTCTTACTTAGGAATCAACTGTCAAATCCAATTTCAGGAAATTCTGTTAGTTCCATTGTGAAGTTTATTTCATTCCTTGTTTGCTTCACTTTGTAATGTTTAAGGTTAATGCATAAATATATATGACTATCCATATGGATTTATCTTAAATTATTATTTACCTATTTTCATTTGATATGTGTTTATACATTTTCATATGTTTATTTAGTTTATAAGCTTTATAAAATCAAAGTTTGATATAATGGACTTGCATGCAGCGTATAAAATTTTACTGCAATTTACATCTTTTGCATACATTGGAACAGATATTTATTCCACATAATACATATGCAAATAATATGATGTAATTTGCTTCATTTGTATGATACCATCATCAAAACGTTAAATCTCGACAGTACCCAACTATCTAGGTCAATGCTTAATTGAATCTATTAGACAAAAGTTCATTGTTTTTCTAAAAAAAAATTTCTTAATTTGAGTATGAAGCACCTTCCTGCTAAAAGTCACATATTCCTAGAGATAGCTATTTGACAGTAGTTTCATAAATCATCTGTGTTTTCATAACTTAAAATGAGATTTTGAAAAGTTCATAATTCCTAAACAGGTAAAAACAAATTAATTTAATTAATTTCTTTAATTCTGTGTTTATTCTCTTCCCATGTTCTCTGCATTATTTTTAAAAAATATTTCATATACTCAGAAAGAGAGAGATAGTCAATTGACTACAAGATGGATTTTTAATAGACAGACAGCATCTTTCCCTTCATTCTTTTTAATCTATTTCAACAACTTGAAGATATGAGCCGGAATGACTTTTCAATTCATGCAAGGGCTGGAATGAAATATTGAAGAGAGACATCCTCATGGAGTAAGATGAAATGAACAATTCTCTTACTTACAATATCTGCAAAACACAAATCCATATTTTAAAGAATAATAAAACCAAATGTGAAGCATGGAAATTTGTCAAATGCTTCCTATTCAATAAAGATTGCATATAATCTCAATTTATGACTAATGGGAACCAGAAATCTCTTCATAAGTCATAAGTCAAGCAAGCATGTTATTGGAAATATTTTCCTGGCCTTTCTACTGGAATGGGATTACTCGCCATGGCCATCTCGCCAGTCAACTCACCATGGCCAATTTGCCATGAGACAACTCACCACAGGCCAACTCGCCACAGCACAATTAAACTCAATTATTTAACATAATTTAAAAATATTTTAATTTTTGTCATTCACATTTCATGTTGTCCCTCCTTTTGCATACTTTCTGTAATTATTCTACTTCACCATTTGTTCAAAATTAGTGAAAGGCTTGTCCCATGGTGAGCTGTCCCACAGTGAGTTGGCCATGACTAGTTGTCCCATGGCGATTTGGACGCAAGTTGGACGCAGCAAGTTGGATGCAGCAAGTTGGACGCAGGAAGTTGGACGCAGCAAGTTGGATATGGTGAGTTGTCCTAGACCCCTTTCTATGGTTGTTGCAAAGAAAGCATGGTAGTTGTTAATCAAAAGCCATTCATTTGAATGGCATTTTTATCAAAAGATAGCAAAAATAATCATAAATTGCAGTTACATGACCATGGAACACCACAACTGGTCATAAACTTGACCGACCCATGGTACAACCATTTACAATTGCCAAGGGTGCTTTATGGACCATGAAGCACCAGTTCCATGATCATCATAAGTTGTTAAAGAGCCACTGTAAATTGAGGACTGCTTGACTGGAAAATTATAAAACCCTCCTCAGCACTTAATCAGAATAATTTCAATCTCAGTAGTGAACAGGAAATTCAGAATTTCAGTTCTGCATGGTACTTGCTATAACAAAACAAGTAAACAAGTCAAAGAACAGTAAATAACAAGAAAATATAAATCACTGAAAAATAGTCAAGGAATCATTATTGACTGTAAAGGTAGGATTAAATGCAATCTATAAATATTAGAAAAAACTTTGAAGGAAAAAGAAAAACACAAAAGAACTGCAACAACCACACTACAAATCAGTTTTTTTTGCTGGTGGTCATGAATTTGCATTAAAAAGCAATATATATCTAACAATAATCCAAAACTGTATGGAATGGCAGTTCTGTTAAGGTCTGTTGAAGTGGTCTATTACCAGGATAGAATTCAGCCAAATGAGTATTATCGATTTGCAGTAGCATGACAAATAGTCCTGTAGCCAGCAGGATATTTTTCCAGTTTGCTAAAGTCATAGATCTGAGGCTACCAAACTGATATTGGTATCAATATGCATATTTATTTTAGATAAATGTTTTTATTTAGTTTTTTATTGTTTTAAAGTGTTTTTATTATTGTATGTTTTAATTATAAGCCACCCAGAAGCATTGAGATGGACAACTATAGAAATTGAGTAAAAACAAATACGTATTTGATCCAGAACTGATCCTCCATTGAACACCATTGATTCAGCTTAAACAAATTAACTAGACATTTTCATTTTATAGAAAAGAATGACAATTTCTATCAAATATTTTATATAATTGTATGTACCCAGATGATTAAATTGATTAAAAGATTATCCAAACAGGAACACTTACTACACAGTGCTTTTGTGGGGTTGACTTGCTGCCCTACAAGGAACTGGAGAAGTCTCTTAATATCAATGCGTGCCTCAGCCATATTCATAGGGTCTCTTTCGTGAGTAGAGTTTTGAGACTCATCCCAAGATACTAAAATTCAAACAGAATATATTTTGTTATCTACACCAGACTTGTAAGGTTAGCTCTAAATTCCGTAGCATTTAAAACATTATAATCCGGATTTCCGGTTTGGCACTGCAGCAGGACAGTCGCTGGATAGTGGGGCTCTGCGAATACCAGCCAATACTTCTCTGTTAGGAAGCCCTAAGGGGCTAAAGTTACCTTGGAGGGGTGACGAAGAAAAGAGGGACTCCTCGTTGATCACAGAAGAGCAGTGGCTCTTTTGCTTGATCGGAGGCACCCTCCCGACCGATGGAGAAAAGGAATGGCCATTATGGTTGGAACAAAGCTGAGGCAACTGAACACGAAGAAATAGGAAGTGAGGATTCAAAGCAGCATGAGAGAGATGAAAAATGAGTTGGGAGAAATGAAAAGTGGTATGGGAGAGATGAAAGAAAAAATGAATAATTTGGATGAAAGAATAGGGAATAGGGAATTTTCAGCAAATAATAACAAAGAATGAACAAAGGATTCATTCCTTTGTTAGAGAAATAGAGAAGTCAGAACAAGAAGAAAAAAAGTAGATGAAATAAATCAAAGACTGACGCAAGAAAATAAAAGATCTTACAGATTCAGTAATAATGTTTGAAATGGAGAAGGCGGCTTATTATTTACAATTTCAAAATACTGAAGAAGAAAAAAGAGATGACCTCTTAGATATGATGATAGAGATACTAGCCAAGGCTTTAAATTTAAATAATCAGGAGGAGGATAATGAGATGGATGAAATATTCAGAATACATACTGGCTATGTGAAAATACATAAAATCCCAAGAAAGGTCCATATGAGATTTGTTTAAAAAATCAACAAGAGAAGAAGTATTTAAAAAGGCAAAAGATGAACCATTGCAATACAAAGGAAAAGAAATTGTTGTTCTGAAACAGGTTCCAAGAAGAATTAGAGGTTTAGGAAAACAATATCAATTCTTGACTGGGAAATTAATCAAGTATAATATAAATTTTAGATGGTTGGTGCCTGAGGGGATATTAGTGAATTGGAATGAAAAAAGATAGACTGGATACATTAGACAAGGCATTAAAATTTTATGATTACCATTTTAGTGCAAATGAGGGACAAGAAACAAGAGAACAAATAGAATACAAGAAATAAGAGGAACAAACAAGAGAAGAAATAAACACACAACAAGAAGAAAGTGAGGGGCTGAGAAAATAGAGCAAGCAGAATGAGAGGGAGTGAGAGAAAAAGACCAGAGAGAAATAAGAACAACTAGGAGAACAAGACCCATATATAAGTGAAGAAGATGGAAGCCGAAACCAAACTTCTCTCAGTTAATATAAATTGATTGAACTCTCCTATGAAAAGGGGGAAAAATTACACACTGTCTTCAAGAAGTTCACATTAAAACTCAACATGGTATTTTATTGGAATACCCCAAGATTGGGAAAGTCTATTTTCACTAGCAAAACAAAATAAAAGAGGGTTGGCTTTATATATTAAAGAAACAATAAATGCCAAACAAATCTACACAGATGAAAAAGGGAGAATTTTGATGGTGAAACTAGTAATAAATAAAAAAAAGATATTTTCGATAGTGATTTATGCGCCAAATAACAGAAAAGAAGAATTTTATTAAAAATTGCATAAGAAGATAATTGAAATAGACTATGAAAATTTATCTACAGTAGGACTTTTAGTAGGACTTCAATGCAATTGTAGATACAAAACTGGACCATAAAAGTAGTAAAATAGGTAAAAAATTAAGGACTCTTTGTGGCACTTTTTTCAAAATGGCAGAAGAAATAAGTATATAGGATACATCGAGAGAAATAAAGTCAGAGAAAAATCAGATACATTTTACTCAAATAGACATCAATCATGGTCCAGAATTGACATGATATGGACGTCCCTGGAATTGAGTAGAAATCTGCAAGAGATAGAGATAGAAACAAATTTATGGGCTGATCATAATCCAATAAAAATTAGTTGGAAGGGACAAAGGAAAAAGGTGAGATGGATGCTGAATCAGTCAATATTAAAAGATAAAGAATGTATTAAAACAATTGAACAAGAAATGGAATTCTTCTTCAAAATGAACAGAAGAGACCTCATTACAAAATGTATGAGACACAGCCAAAGCCTGTGCTAGAGTGTCAGCTATAACCTACATTGCTAGAAAAAATAAGAAGAAACAACAGCAAAAGATACTAGAGCAAGAGTATAAAAGATTTGAAACTGATCTACAAAGAGAACTGCAGAAAAGAAAATTAAAATTACAAATGGAAACAATAAAACATAAATTAAATCTAATGGAAAAGGAAGGTTTGGCACAACAAATTAAAAGATCAAAACAATTTTTTTTAAAAAATGCAAATAAACCGGGAAGATGGTTAGCAAACAAGTTGAAGGAAGCGAAGAAATTGATAAGTAAATTGCAAGATGAGAAGGGAAACTTACAGTACCAAAATGAGTAAAAAGAAAATAATTCAGAAGTTCTATAGAAAATTATACAACCAAGAAAAAGTGCCAGAGGAAAAAATATTGCAATACTTAGGAACGCAGGACTACCCAAAGTATCTGAAATGGTTGAAAACTATGTTAAATGAAAAAATAACAATGATAGAATTGACAGAGCCGATTAAAAGATAAAAGAATGATAAAACGTCAGGGCCAGATGGACTGCCGGCAGAATTTTATAAATATCTACAAGAGGTATTAAGTACATCTACAAGAGGTATTAAGTACGTCACTGTTAGAGGTCTACAATGAAGCATTTTTAGAAGCTAAGATATCAAAGACCTGGAGGGAAGCAAATATTACGGTAATCCAAAAAGGAGACTTGGATTTAAATCAAATAAAGAATTATAGACCAATATCATTATTAAATGTAAACTATAAAATATTTGCTTCAATAATAGCAGGAAGACTTAAAAGGTATTTGAATAAATTCATACATTCAGATTGTAATGGATTTTTGATCCATTGATCCAAAAAGACAAATAAAAAATAATGTGAGAATTATCTTAGATACATTGGAATATTACGAAGTACATTCAGAAAAACAAATGGCATTGATCTTTTTAGATGCACAAAAAGCATTTGATAATTTAAATTGGCAACTTATGCTACAACTACTAAAATGTATGAACTTTGGTGAAAAGTTTATTAAATATGATTCAGACAATATACTCTAGACCAGGGATGTCAAACTCAAGGCTTAGATTTGGCCCGCAGGGCTGGTCTGGAAATAGCAAAGGACTGGTCCGCGATGCCTCTGCTAGCAAAAATAGGGTGCGGGCGGGGTGCACATGCTTTTGGCCTCCAGAGTCCTTCCAAGCCCAAAATGGGGCTTCCAGAATAGTACAGGAAGCCTTCCAGGCCCAAAATGGGGCCTCTGGAGTGGTCCTGGAGGCCTTGCAGGCCCAAAACAGGGCCTCCGGAGTGCTCCAGGAGACCTTCCAGGCCCAAAACAACACCTCTGGAGTGGTCCAGTAGGCCTTCCAGGCAGGAGTGGGCTTCAAAAATTTTAGCAAGGGGTTCTCTGCTCTATTTGACCCAATTGGAGTGAAGGGAACCTACTACTGCCAAATAAATTTTGGTAAAGTACTAACAAGCTCAATTCCTTCCCAGGGTCCAACTTCAATCGAAGAATCTCATTTCCAATCAGCTCTAGCCCAGATGCTCTGAAAATTGTTGAGGCTTTTCAGATGACCACTGCATCCCCATTTTCTCAAGATCACAGCTGGTACCAAGTGTTTTACATCTCACATAGGGGGAACATCAGTGGTGTGCTGGTAAATGCTCTTTTGGCGCCATTGCTATCATAAAACATATTGGCTCACCTCTGTTCCCAACCAAATCACAAAATTCCAGAAACTTTAGGAATCTGCTCTTGTGAGCTGATACAAGCCAACTCCAGCACATCACTGCAGAACACCTTCTTCTAAGCTCATCCAAATTTCTATTATAATGTCAAGGTGGCTACTGTGTTTACAATATGATCATGAATAATGGGAGTCTTGTTAACATTCAAGAGCATTGGACAAGATAACCCTTATGGTCGCTATCAATTACAATTCTGTGATGTGTAATATGGTGCTACATGCAGATGTAAAGCAGTTTCTTTTCAATGAGACTTTATTCCCAGTAAAATACCTCTAGCCTTATTGTACTATTTCATTTGTAAAGATCTGTGAAATCTCTCCTGGTCTGAAAAAAAAGAGAAGTAAAATGCTTACCCCAGGGAGGATTTCCAAGGTCTCTAAAGTGAGTTGTAATACACACTAGATCAGTTTCTATTTTCAATTCCATCTCTCCATTTAGATTTGCTTCTATTACCTACATAGAAACAAATCAGTTTCGAGAGCCATTAATAACATTTTCCAATTCTCACCATATGCTTATGAATACAACTGTGCAGCATAAAAACTGCATGGAAACCTGAATTGAACACTTGGTATTTGTGGAGTTACCCTCAGCATATATTGTAGTTCTAAAGATAGAGAAGTTGGATTTCAAAGAATGAGGCTTGGTACGCTGAACAATCACAAAAAAGCAGGGTTGCTAATTAAATAGACCCCCCTCCTAACCTAATAGCCTAGATTATTGTCATGCTGTATAATTTTAAAACAAGTGATGTCTTTTGCACCATGGTTACACTCACCCCTACTAACTAAAAGACTATACGAATCCAAGCAGTCTGATAAATATGCAAAAGAAAAAGGAATATATGGAATACTTGTAAGAATGGTAAAGCCATGCACTCTTAAGAGAATCTTTATTCCTTATTCTACTTTATTCTGTAGTCCATATCCAGGCAACTCTATGAACAGCTTGGCACCTTTCTATATGCCTCCCAGATTTTTTGACCATTTGATGTTAATTTAGATTCTTTTAACATTTTTATTATTTTAATTATTTGTAATTAAGAATCATTTACCAAAAATTGGGGAGGGGAACTGAGTGAAAAAAAGTAACAGTTACTAGGTTCATTTTATTTACACAATAGAGGCTTCATAGCATTTTAAAAAAATAAAAATGATGCATGTTTTTTTTTTGAGAGGATGCCCAGTGGGCTGGAAAAATAGACAAAGAACTGTGAATAAAGTGAGAATAAACTGTCTAATGAGCCTTCCAATTATAAATTATAATTATAAATGTTTTTTATAATTTACCATAGTGATTATATCAGTCAATCTTTGAAGGAGAACACTCAAAACATCTTAGCATTTCACAATTTGGTTGCTAGTCCAAAATATAATGCAAAATCTGACTCGCCACAAAAATCATTTGGACCACTATTATCTTAGCCACTATGACAGGGGTGTGATATGAGTTACAAAATTTGTGAAAAATAGCAAATCTCAATGTCCTTTATTCACAGTTCCTGTTTAGGAACTGGTGGATCTCTCTCTATATTTGCATGTTGATGTTATGCAGAACTTAAAATTCAAAGGTGCTTCACAGTATGCAAAAGACACTAATGAATCATCTTTTAAGGCAACATCTTTTCCCAGAACTGCAGGGCTTCCCTCTGCAGCATGATAAAGATACAACTGGTTTAAAGATGTTGCTAGAATGTGCTATATTTGTACCTATAAAACACTGAAATCCCTTTCCCCAAAATGAATTCTAAGTGCTGCACAGCTGTAATATCTTGGCAAGCATTCAATATCAAATATATACGTTTGCATATCAGATTATTATCAGATATTGACCAAACAAGACTTGATGTCTTTGCTCATTTGCAAGACTAAAAAGCTGGGAAACCAAATCCTAATATACATTATGTGCCAAATCAGCCTGTGTCATAAGTTAAAGGAGAGAAAACAAAACAATTAATATCTTACTATTCCCACCATGATCTAACCTTGAATGGATTTGTTTTATCTGTAATTCATTTTGAGAAAGCACTTTATACAATTATTGATTATATAAACTTAAAATAATATGTCCCAAAATTCTGCAATAATTAAGTAGAAATGCAACTCAATTATATTTAACTCTCTTACCAAATATGCCTTCACAATTAAACATATTGTAACTTACAACTGAACTGCTGAGATTTTTCATTCTCTCCACAACACATTTCATGGTCTTCAGCACAGGTAAATAAATACTGACCTGCAAAATAAAATCAGTAGCACTCTAGATTAGGGGTCTCCAACCTTGGCAACTTTAAGCCTGGCGGACTTCAACTCCCAGAATTCCCCAGCCAGCAAAGCTTCTGAGAAAAGAATTCTGGGAGTTGAAGTCCACCAGGCTTAAAGTTGCAAAGGTTGGAGACCCCTGCTCTAGATGACCTAGGAATATCTTATCAATGACACACTTTCCAGGGTGATACATTATCCCATAGAGAATTAAGCTAATTTAGAACCAAATGACATTCTACGGTTCAGCACATGACTGAATTATAATATATAGTTTTGGGTGAACTTACCCAAATTTAGCTCAATTAAAAAAAAAAAAAAACTATAGCTACTCTGAATCAGGCCACACTGATAAATGTATCTTTTCCTTCCTACATCATTCTTCAAATGAGAATTCTAGATATAGGGAAGGACAGCCCAGCAAAGTTTAAAAACCTCTTCTTGCGGTAAATGAACTTGCTCTGTGTCGAAGTAAGTATTTATGTTGTACCATGGCCTGAGTTTGGGCTAACTCCTCAGAGAACGATTCTAATTAGCTATCTGCATCAATTAAGTTGAGTCTGGTTTAGGATTTAAGCCAGAATCAAGACTTGTCTCAATACTCCAAGGAACCACCTAGAACATGTGAAGAAAAGAATCAGGCTAAGCACCTTGGCAATAAAGCCCACTTGAAAGTGTTCTAGTTCTGGCTTAATAAGTATTAACTATATTAAGACTAGTAACTAGTGAGATGAGGCTTAATGAACATCAACTGAGTAATGCAAGGGTTTCTATAGCCCATATTTTAGAATTGGCTTGTGGTAGGGAATCTTGAACATAAGAAATGTAGTTCCTCCATGTCTGAGATATTTTTGTTTTGTCCTTTTGTCATGATCTTGACTATGATTAATTTGGTTTATGATTTCAAGCTACTTTTCAGTGTCACCTGTAATGTTTTGTGGAATTAAACCTTGGACTGAATTACAGTCTTACATTTGGAAGTACCTCTATCATCTGATGCATGAAGCTAATGCATAAAAATCAATGTGAAAATCATAAAAATATTGGAAAGATCCCAGATAAAAATGTTCACTGGTATCAAATTATACAACATAAATGCTAAGAACAAAAAATGTTATTTGTTTTAACAGCTATGTCAGAAACATAAGAAATTTGCTGCAATAAAGCTTAAATGCCACAAGAAATTTTAGAAGAAACCAAATAAAACTGTTTTTAAAATTTAGTTTTAATTCTCTAAAAATCAAGTTACTTACATCGAAGTTGGGCACACTGGGTTCTCTGAAGTCATTCCATAGTTTTCTGGGAATAACTCCTACAGGAATGTCATGAGTCACAATGCGGCTACTGGTTGACAAGGAAGGCTGGAAGAAAGAAGCTTTATATGACTAAAAGAGTAATTTTTGGCTATTTAAAGAATTACCACATTTCATTGCAATATCCATAACTATTTTATACCAGAAAGCAACTCCTTCATAACTGCAAGAAACACCATGACTTCAAGCCTGTGAAAATTGGTACCATAAAGTTATCTCTCTTCCAATCATGTGTGGATAGTTATAATGAAACATGGTCACCCTTAATAATTTCCTTCTAAATGTTTGCCTGGGTCAAAAGTTTAGACAAATCTTACAGCCAAATTTTCAAGAAATCAATTCTCAAAGTCCTGGAAATCAAATTAGAAATGACTGCTACTTGGAAACTTAGAGGACAATTTTACTTAGTACAAAATGTGCTTTGAACCCACTATTCACTTCTTCATAGCCTGAATCTTAACATGCAGATCTCTGTTGTTTAAGAAATTAAATCACGCAGAAATAAGTAGCAACTGATTTCCCTTGAGTCTGTTGTCATTTTTACATGGTTTGTGCAAGCTGTAAAAACCCCAAACTAATCCTCCTGCAGAGGTAACCAAGTATTAGTACCATAATTTAGCTGAACTGAAAGCTATTATTTTCCTTTCACTTTGATACTATATAGTGAACCTGGGGACTTCAAAATGCCGCAATATCAGGATAACCATATCAGAATGTTCAACAATATGAAGATCCCCCTGAGTAAAAGTTATGCTGAAAGAAGTTACTGGGTCATGAGCATTTACACAACTGTACATTTTATTATTGATCAAACATTTGAATACATTGCAATTCTTCTTTGATAGGAAAACTGACATCAAACTTAGAATAATTCTCTACTCACCAGCTCCATGGCTACTGTAAGGCAAGGACATTGTTTATTAGTCAATTTGATTTTCACTGTCTTGGCATTCTGAGCAGTTTTAAAAGCCCTGGAAAGGTTTTCAGGTGCCAGTTCTAAATAAATTTCATTATTTTCTGCAGAGACACCTTCCATCTGGAATTCATCAAAGAAGTTCATCTAGAACAATTTTAGAAAGCAGAGATGCTGATAAGGCTAATGCTATTAATATTGATGTTCATTTAAAAGTATTGTTTTTCTTTTGCTCTTAAAGGTAAGTAACTATAAGTAAGGTAGCTGTTATAGTCATGAATAGTCCTGCGACTTTACTTGTATGAACTATCAAACAAGTTCAGTATGGTCAAAAACATTAATTCACATATGTCTACAAACAGACCAGATAATATAATAGCTAACTAAATAAACAATACAATGGAAAAATTATTAACATTTCATTTGTTAGAATCTTCCAACACACAATAAAGTCTCACAACAAAATATTATAGATCCTGACTATAATCCTTTCTATAGCTTAACAGAAGCTATTTTTTTTCAAATAAAACCTTGTTTGAATAAAAAGGAATTCTAATCTCTGTATTTTATTCAGCCCTATGCCATATATTAAATAAATAAAATATTCAACTCTACTTTGCTGGCAGATGCATAGATTAAACAAATCTCTAGATCAGAGATGTATAAAATACAAGTCATTGACCATCAGCTTCCCTCTGAATTTTCTGCCGATATGCTACTAATCTGTAGTGACAAAAAATAAATGCTATTATATGGAGATAATTAAGAATGGGAGAAAAAAGCTGTTTTAAATTCAACCTACATTATGCTATCATTGCTTGCATGATTTACTGCTATGGATTCAGAATTTGTTACATAATCACATATAATTTGTTACATAACCAGTGTCTCTCCAAATAAAAGAGTAAGAGTTAGAATGGACTTTAGAGACCTAGAACTTCTTGACCATGGGTGTCAAACTCGCTGTGTCACATTGCTGTCACATGACATTTTGCGATGTTTTTCCCCTTCACAGCGCTGGGATAGGTATGAGGAATCAGGCCCGCGGGCCACCAATTTGACACACCTGTTCTAGTCAAGCCTCCTGCTAAAGGAAAAGACTCTATACCATTCCAGACAAATGATGGTCCAGTCTCTTCTTAAAAGTCTCCAGTGATGGAGCACCCACAACTTTTGAAGGCAAGCCGTACCACTGGTTAATTGATCTGTCAGGCAATTTTTTCTTAATTCTAGCTTGCTTCTCTCCATTCATTGTTTCTTGTTTTGCCTTCTAGTACTTTGGAAATAGGTTGACCTCTTCTTTCTGGCAGCCCCTCAAATATTGGAATACTGCTTTGTCACCCCCAGTCCTTTTCTCTAGACTAGACATACCCAATTCCTGCAATTCATCATGTTTCAGCCTCCAGCCCCTTAACCATCTTTGTTACTCTCTTCTGCACTCTTTCCAGTCTCTACATCTTTTTATAATATGGTGACCAAAACTGGGTGCAGTATTCTAAGTGTGGTCTTACTATGACTTTATAAAGCAGTACTAATACTTCATGTCATCTTGATTCTATCTCTCCATTAATGCAATCTAGGATTGTGATGGCTTTTTTGTTAAAGTCTGTCAAGATTTATCTGGATCTTGAACATACCTTCTGGGGTGTTGGATTATTTAGTGTCTTCTGCAGATTTAACAAGTCCCCCTTCTATTCCCTCCCTATGAAGATGTTGAAAAGTACTGGGGCTAAAATGGAACTTTGGGGTACCCCAATGCTTACTTCCCTTAGTGTAGATGTAGTTCCATTAAGGACTACATGATGAGTATGATTTGTCAGTCAGTTATAAATCAGTCAGGTGATGATGCTGTGTATCCCACATTTTTTTAGCTTTTTTTATATGTTGAAAGAAACTGTATTGTTTTTGTCATTTGTTGCAAGTCTTACTTCATTTTGAGCCTTAGCTTTCCTGACTTCATCTTTGCAGATCTGGGCTATAAGCTAATATTCTTCCTTAGTTATGTCTGTTTCCATTTTTTCTTCTTAGTCTTTTTGTCTTTCAGTTTATCAGAAAGTTCTTTGTGTAATCATGGTGGGGTTGTTTTTTTTCCGAAAAGCATTTAAGTTCTTTTATGAGCACCAAGCATCTGCATTATTTTGTAGTAGGAAGCATATCAGAAATAATTTTTGATTGCCGAGGCAATTCCAGAAATTTCCCCCTCTCTGCTTTACCTACACTGGTTGTCAGCAACATGCAGCTTCATCGAAGACGACCCTCCTCCTCCTCTTCCTCCTCCTCCTCATGCAACCCCCTGGTCAGCTGTTGTGGGGCCGGGAGGGCATGCACAAGTGGGGATATTCTCAAGTGAATGGCTGGGCTCAGCCAAAGCACAGCGAAGGTGTGCAGAGTGGGAGGATTGACCGGCTGACGGGCCGGTCTTTGGTGAAAGTGTCTTTGGCAAGGGGGCTCCAGCTTTCTTTGAGCCTGATCCCCAGGGTGGGAGAGTGAGGTTCAGCGGGGCCAGCCCCCTTTTCCTGCTGCCCTGAGCTTCTTTACTCCTCCAGCGGAGTTGAGCATCCTCTGGGCGGTGAAAGTTCCCCGTGCGAGATTTAAAGCCACCCAGAGGACTCTTTTCAATCAACACTGCTGTCAGCACCACTCCACTCGCTTGAGGAGGGTATCCCCGCCCATTCGCACCCTCCCAGCCCCACAGCAGCTGTCCAGAGGGTCATGTGAGGAGGCGGGTTGTCTTCGACAAAGCTGTCACCGCAGCTCATGCTCACTCCTCAGCCAACCCAGATTTCTGAAAAGTTACCAAGAAGAAAGAAAAGAAGTAGCGAAGAGCCCCAAGGAGAGCTTGCGGGGTTGGCCCAGCCTTGGCTTTCCAAGAGAGAGAGAAGAGACAGAGAGACAGAGAGCGAGAAATGAGAAAATGATGGAGGGAGGGAGAGAGGAAATAGAGAGAGAAACAAGAGAGAGAGAGAAGGGGAGAGAGAGAGGGAGAGAGAAATGAGAGAGAGCTGGAGGGAGAGAATGAGAGAGAGGGAAAAGAGAGGGAAACAAATGAGAGAAAGAAGGGGGAGAGAAAGAAAAAGAGGAAGAGAGAGAGGAAAAGAGAGAAAAACAGAAATGAGAGGGAGAGAAAAAGAGAGAGAGAGAAATGAGAGAGAAAAAGGGGGAGAAAAAGAGAAAGAAATGAGAAAATGATGGAGGGAGAGAATGAGAGAGGGAAAACAGAGAAACAAATGAGAGAGAGAAGGGGGAGACAAAGAAAAAGGAAGAAAGAAAGAAAAAAAGGGGGAGAGGGAGAGACCCATTTCCCACAGAAGACACTGGGAGCTACAAAACCTGGGTAGACATGACTAGGAGGGTCATGTGACTGGGTGGGAATGATATTGAGTTGGCCATGCCCACCCAGGCTTTGTGGATCCCGGTGTTTTCTTTTCTGTGGGAGGTCCAAATGACTCTTGGATTGTTTAAGGTTGCAGACCCCTGACATACACTCATAGTGAGAAGCTTACAAACAGAAATAGCAATATCAAATATGAGTCAATTCAACTCTGCTTACTTAATTTGGATGATTCTGTGTTAAGACAGATCCTAAGCTATCTAAACATTATTCTTCTATATCCATTCTTAAATTATGATAATAATTTTTTGGCTCTTCTTGGATATCTTTCAGCTCTTAGGGGTCTTTAATTATCTCAAATTCAACTTTTTTTCTTGTCTTCTGTCTTTCTTCTTCATTTATTTCTATCTAATTATTTTTGACATTTTGTAGGAACATAAGAGGAACTGTTTATTATTATGTACAATACTGTTTCCTTTACACCACACACAATTCTTTCTTAGGAGTAAGTATTCACAATGAAACAACATATATCTCTTTGTTTGTTACAAAGTTCTAATTTAAATCAAATGCACTTCATAGTTTGCTGTTTTTAATATTTTTCACCCCTGCACTCTTACCTGGTTAAGCTCACACCACATGCTAACACCACCATTTGCCACTTTGTCACTGAGGATGAAGTAAAGTTTATCCAAAGTAAGCCGCAGGATACAGGTTTTAGCTAACTTGGCAATTGTGCTTATCACACCTGTCAAGACAGTACATTTTACAATATACTCTCTTAATATCTCTGTATAATAGAACATCTTTAGTCACAGGAACAAAAATAGAAGGTGAAACCTCATTACCAAACAGGCATAATTAAAGGTTAATTTGGAAGCTGCATTAAAAATTACTGGACTCCAGTAATATCCCATCACTAAAATATTAAGTATTTTAGAAGTATTAATATTAATACTTCTGTAAGATTAACAAAGAAGCTTTGGAACCAAATTTATAATCCCTGTAACAGTTTTTCAGATATCTATTTACCTGTGTGCAGTTGTGACTGAATTTTTCTAAGTGGTTTTATTAACATAATTAACAAGCAATTTTTATATCTCACTCAGTGTTTAGTATGGAGTATGGAGGAATAGTATTCCTCCACTAGTATGGAGGAATAAAAGGAGAGTCTTTGAGATAACATAGTACTAATAGACTCATTACAGGTAGGCTGCAACTTTTGAAGTATCCTTGTAAATTTCCCCTTTTTTATTTTCTCTGTACTTTTTACCTCTCCAAGGACAGAATGAAAACATGAAATTCTTCCTGTACTACACACATTGTCTGAGTATTCATTCATACGGCTTGTTTGATTCGAGTTTAGCACGCTCTGGGAAGCAAATCGCTAGAAAGAATATGTATCTGCTTAGTTTAATCCACTTCAATTGACAGCTATGGATCTATCATCCCATTTAGCCTCCTCAATACCACGGAACAAACAGATGGACTGCCAAATAAATGAAACACTTTATTTCATTTAATCAATGGCCACGTTTCTATTTCCATTCCCAGCAGAAGGCTTGGTATTTTCCTTGAAGACCTTTATACTCTCAGAGGAAGCCCGCTCTTTCGATAGAAAAGAAGCGCCGCTCTTTAAAAAGTGCAAATCGGACGGACAGTCGGTCGAAGAAACCACGGAAGGGAGGCAAAACCGAGTGTGCTCTTTCCAGTGCTTTTTCTTTCCAGCTGAGCTGCAGCCTTTCTCACACGCTCTACTCACGACTGAAATGGTTGAGGCATCCCACGTCTGTAATCTTCGCTCGAAATCGCATGACAGCCACGGCTTCAGCATCAAAGCTCCCCCTCGCCTTCCTCCAATCAACCATAGAGAAAAAGGGAGGCAAGTGCACTTCCGGTTTCCGTTTTAAGCGTCTTAGGGGCAGTTTATGCAAAAATACCACAGAGTTTTTGTCCCGCGTTAGCTCCCCCCCCCCTTTTTTTTCTTTTCTTTTTTTTCTTTCTTTCTTTCCCCATTTGGGCCAATGGAGTCGGTTTCGTAATCTCTCTCATGGCCAGCTCAATTAAGTGGGAATCGGAAATGTCGCAGATCCGGCAAAAGGCCAATTTCTGATCCTACGAATTCTCTTCATCCTTTTCTTCGATCTACGGTGAAACCCGGAAACCAAACAAGGGGTTTGGTTGCCAATGATGCCTCCCCCACATTTTTGTTTCACTTTCCTTTATTTTATTTACTGGCCGTCCGGAAAGATTACACGCTTTAAAAGAAAAAAAAAGATTATTACAGTCTCCCGATTTAGGAGTTTTCCGGAAAGTTTTCGCCGTTCCCACTGGCGAACAGCAGCAACAACTGGGGGCCTCGCAGAAAGCGTAACCTAATCATTTCTTATTAGGCCTAACAACAGAAGAAATAAAGCTGGAAGGGACCTTGGTGGTCTTCTAGTCCAAACCCCTGCTCGAGCAGGGGAACCTATTTCAGAGAAGTGACTGTCTAGTCTTTGCATGCATGAGCCTTCATGTGTGGCAAGAAAAATGCTATACAAGTAATCCTCCACTTATTTGTTTAGTAACCATTCAAAATTACAATGCACTAAAAAAAGAGACTTATGACCATTTTTCACACAACCATCGCAGCATCCCTGTGATCAAAATTCAGACGCTTGGCAACTGACTCATATTTACAACAGTTGCAGTTGCAGTGTCCTGGGTCATGTGATCATCATTTGTAACCTCAGCCAGTTTTCGAAAAGCAAAATCTGTGAGAGAAGTCAGATTCGCTTAATGACTATGTAATTCACTTAACTGCTGTGATTCACTTAGCAACTATGGCAAAAGTGTCACAAAATGGAGCAAAATTCACTTAACAATTGCCTTGCTTTGCAAAGAAAATTTTGCACTCAATTGTGGTCATAAATTGAGGACTACCTTTATCATAGCTATCACAGAATGGAAGGAGCTTTGAGATCATCTAGTCCAGAGGTCTCCAAATTTGGCAACCTCAAGATCTGTGGATCTAAATTCCCAGAATAACTCTGCCAGCTGGCTGGGGAATTCTGGAAGCTGAAGTTGAATCCTCCCGTTCCTGAATTTGGAGCATAAAGACTTTGGAGACCCCTTCTCCTCCAGGCCTATCATCTCCTTGGCAACATCAGAGCTGCCCTGATGAATGCTTGTCAGCTCCACAATCCTGAATGGAAGGAGACATCACCTAGGTTGGCTCTGCCGCACTTATCCACACAAGGCCAGAGAGAAGAGGGTTGCTTGGCAGATTCAGGGCCTTCCAAATGAAGTCCCAACACCAAAAATCCTCAATTTGATGTGCTAATAAGGTATCAGGCTAGAAAACTGGAGACAATGAACTCTAGTCCTGCCTTAGGCACAAAAGCTGGCTGGGTGACTTCGGACCAATCACCAGGAGATGGTGAGTTCTAGTCCCACTTTAGGCATGAAAAGTAGCTGGGTGACTGGGCTCTTAGCCCAACCCATTCACAGGGTTGTTGGGAAAATATGAAACGAGGAAGGAGTATTATGTATGCTCACCACTTCAGTTACTTACAAAAATAATTAAGGCAGAATACAAAAAGGGAGAGAGAGAGAGAGAGAGCGATGATGGATGTATGGAAGGACAGACAGATAAAAAGCCACAGCAAGCAAGGTCAGTTGTGAGTGTGTATGACCCATTCTCACAGCCTGTCCTTTACTCACTTGGAAGTAAGGCTTTGACTAAGGACACATGCTAAAACTGACTGTCCCAGGATCTCACTTGCAGGGCCCTCAGTTCTGGTTCTGGTTCTGCCCAGCCCTGATGTGGAACAATTACATTCAAGGAGATCAGGAGAGGAAAAAGGTACTTGATTCAGAGACACCAATTGGATCATCACTCCTTGCCTTGTTTTGGTCTCGGTGAACTCAGGGACAGACAGATGAACTGGCCAAGCAGCAGGAACCGGCTAACTCACCAGGCGTTTCTCACAGTCACCCTCCAAAAGCAGGGAAAGAGGTAGGAAGCCAATTATACCAAGAGGACCTAGCCCTTCTCACCAGAAAAAGGAGATGTGCTGAAGGTAAAGGGAAATTTTTGCTGAAGGAGACAGCCAGATGTGCATACAGTCAAGCTGGTCTGGATTCAGGCCTGTCTCCAAGTCAGAGTAGCAGCAAATCCAAACCTGGGACCCTCCCCCCTCTTTTGCAGGCTCCTTAGATCTCATATGTTGACAGAGGAAACAGACCCAGAATGAAAGGGATCCCACCATGGGGCAGGCAGGAGGCCTTGGGGAACAAAGGGTGTCTCAGAAGAATTTGTCATTCTGAAGTGGGGGCATGTGATATCATCAGGATTGATGGAAGACAGAAATGAACTTGTCAGAATTCTCAGTCTCCAGCTACTGCAGCTTTTTGGTCAGCCAGTCGTCAGGCTGGTTGGGGTCCCCTCTGTCTGACTGGGGAGAAGGGATGCTGGTGGTGCTGTCCCTCCTTTGAAGCTCCAGTATCAGCTGGTTGGCAGCCTTGATGTGCTTGATGGCCATTTGGAGGTGCTCAGCAAGATCAGAGCGCACTGAGGACAGCTTGTGGGTGTGGAAGACCATCTCCTCAGAGAGGTACTCCAACATGTTGCACTGGGGGATGAAGTAGTTGGGCCAGGTCTTGTTCACTAGGCAGTGGTGCAGGTCGTCAATCAGGCCCAGCAGGAAGCGGGCAGCATAATCCTCCTGCAGCTGGCGGGCAGCTGGCCACAGGCCTAGAGCTTGATGCTGCACAGGTGGTAAGGGCTGATGGCCTTGGGGCTCGAGAGCAGCTTGATGATGATGACATTGCAGGCCTGATAGGCTTGCATGAGACTGCTGGAGATGTACTTCTTCAGTTGCACCTTGCTGCGGGCAAAGGATGAGCACCATTCATCCTTCCAGCCTTGGTATGAGCAAGCAGGGAAGCTGATGATGACTTCTTCCTCAATGTCTTCCTGTCGCAGAAGTGGTTCTTCATCAGCCAGCTCTGGGCCACAGCTGGCCAGATATTGCCTAGTTTCCAGGATATCTACCCATGCCCCTATCTCCCTTCCAAAAATATTTTCCTGCATCTCTGGTTCTCTTTTTAAATCTCTTAAAATATTCTTTCCCTTGGTTTGTTGTTTGCTGGTTTATCTGTTCTGTTTTTTCATCTGCTCTTTCAATTGGCTCCTCCTTTTCCTGGGTGTCTTGATCACTCGTCCTTTGTATAATATTCCCCAATTTTACATCTGTGCCATGCATTAAATTCTTAATCTCCTTGTGGTTTCTTATCAGAATGTCCTTGATGCTTTGAAACTTCCAAAGTTCCACTCATTTCCTCCTGGTAGAGCATCTTGTCTTGTTTTGGTAAGTCCCCCTCTTGTCCAATAGTCCCAAAACCATATATTCAAATCTAAGTCGGTCTTCAAAGAATACAATGTTCATAATTCTTTTTTTTTTTATTGCAAAAGTTTTACAATTACATTTTCACCCCTTTTCCCCCCCCACCTCCCCCCCAAACTTCCCAACCTCCCTAACCCTCCCTAACCCTCCCCTCCCCCCAGACTTCCCTATAATATACTCATAACTGGTAAAAAAAAACACACACACACAAAAAAGAAAAACCCTTAGTATGACACTTATGTGTAAACTTGAACCCCTCCCTCCCCTGTATAATTTTTCTTTTACCTCATTTCATTAAAATATTTCTAATACATTATTTTCAAATAAAAGCTATTTGATACTTTCTAGTTTGATATTTGTTCTGAACATATTCTATCCACCTTTTCCATTCCCATTCATAAGTCTCTTGTGAACAATGTTCATAATTCTTTATATCCCGTAATTAATCAATCAATTCCCAGAAGCTTTCCAGAACCTCCTTAAATCCCCTTTATATAATAATAATAATAATAATAATAATAATAATAATAATAATAATAATAATTACTATTACTACTACTACTACTACTACTACTACTACTACTATTATTATTATTATTATTATTATTATTATTATTATTATTATTATTATTCTATACCACCCTTCTCCCGAAGGACTCAGGGCGGTGTACAGCCTATTCAAAAACACAAGACAAAACATTGATTAAAAATTTAAAATAATTAAATAAATTTGGCTCAATTTAAAACCCCACAAATTTAAAATACCCCAATTTAAAATTATTATGTTGATAGCCCAGCCTGGCGGAACAACAGGGTCTTCAGTGCACAGCGAAACACCCGGAGGTCTTATGAATTCAATCATATATTATAGCATTCAGGGGTCACTTTAGTTAACATGTCTTCCTGTCTCATATTTAAATGTCCAGTAGTCATGTCATAGATGCATATAACACATCCTTGTCAAAAAATTTTCCCAGAGTTTTAGGAATATGTTATACTTTCCTTTCGTCAGCAGGTGGCGCTCTCAGCTTAGATTTCAATGTTGTCACAGATCCAACCAATTTTTAGTTTGATAATAATTCAAACTATAAAAACAAAGTTTTTTAGGTAAAGAGCTCCAGCATTTTAAAATGCCTTTCCAAAACCGCTCGTATCCAGTTTAAAAGTCCAATTTTCTTTAATTTTTAAAAAGTTTTTTGCTTTTCTCCCTTTGATTTTTTTCTTTCAATTCTGGAATTTTTCTCAAAGTGCTCAATCACTGCTTTAACAAATAGTTGTGAGCCTCTCTTTTCCTGGATTTTTCTTTTTGGAGTTAGGTTATTAAATAAGAAGAAATCCTCTCATCCAGTTCAAGACACTGTTCACCTACTCCGCTTCAGCACATTCTTAGCTGTTCCTCGGCTGTCCCAGCTTTATGGCAGCCATCTTTAGGCTGCCTCTTCTCCTCATTGTGGCTGAGAGGGAAAAGAAAGTCCCGGGTCAGAGACTTCCGGTTGGT